GCCACCCCCAATTGAAGTGATTTTTTCCCCCAAATCTTACATGAAGCAGGAGCTGACTATAACCCTGACTGTGCTCATCTGAGACCTTCACTTTGGGAAAGAAGGGTATGAAGATTGATCAAACAATTGAGCAAGTAGAATAATAAACCTTTTTTAAAGGGTGGAAAATAAGACGCCTGAATAAAGGAAGTGGGGTAAAGGGGGATCTTTTAACAGGGCTTTTGACCCACACTTCACATCTAACAAGGACCTCAAATTTAATTTATAAAGACATCAAGTGACATACCACCCCCACCACCCCCGAAAGGGGCTTCTCTAGTAAGGAAGACAGCCAGCTGTGTGCTGTTACCGAATCCCACCAACTGAACAGAGTGGATTAATGTTTAATAAATCCTGTAAGATGATCCTATTGCACTCTAATTTCTCCTGATTATTTTTTACCCTAAGCATTGAACACATAAAATATATGTATATAAAGCATACCACGATTTTTACAATCTTATTATTTATCATTCATTGTTTAATGGTTTCTGAAGCCCCTTCAGCCTCCTGAAATGGTGCGTGATCGTGTGTATGTGTGTGTGTGTGTGTGTCGCCTGGATAAAGAAACCACAGCTTTTTGGGGGGTAGAGGAAGAGTAGGGAGGGAAGGGGGAGGAAGGAGGGCAGATAAAGAGAAGAGAGAGCTGGGATATGAAATCTCCTTCCATGTGAAGCCTCAAAAACGAGAGACAATTGGCTGCTTTTCATAATGCAAGAGCAGAACGCAACAAACCCACTTTGCAAACTACCTAAATGGTTCTGTGACATTTACCTTATGGGGAAAAATACTGAGAATGCCACAGGTAAGTTTATGTTGCTTCCCAAATGTTAAGGAGACAGAATGATATCCCTTTTACCATCTGTTATGTGAAAGTGTCCATAAGTGACGCAACAGGAATGAGAATAGCTTCCTTTCCTAATATCGTGAAACTTCTAAATGCCCAAATTATAGAATTATTTTCCACCAATGATGTCTTCACAAGAAGCCACAAAATACGAGCAGACCACAGTCAAGAAGGATGCCGTGAGTTAATGTGTGTGAGAATCCAATTACTGTTCTTTTTAAAATTAGCCCCAGAGGGGACAGGCCATGGAACATGTAGCAAGCTGACATTTGCTCTGTTCTTGTCCCGTTTGCAATAGAAACCTCTGTTCTTCTGGGTGGCTCCATCTATTTGACTTCATTGCCCTTTTGCTGGGAGGGGGGAGGAAGCAACAATATTAGGGTCCCAAATCTTACCCAGAAATGTCTCCACGCAACTGCTGGCTCACGTAAGTGGCCCGTGTCCCCAGGACTCCAAAATGTGGTTGTCAGAGCTAAGTGCAGAGACACAAAAGCTGTCACTGAGAATGACCTTTTGCTGTCCTTGTGGGAGAGGGAGGTCTATAAATTTCATAAATGTCTTTAAAATACCCTGTCATTGTGTCACAACAGGCTAGGTGAGGTCCGGTTGATCTGCAGTCTTCATTTAAGTTGGAATGAGAGATTTCAAATTGATTCCCTCCAACCCGTTAACCCAAAGCCACCACAACCCCCACGGAAAATCTATTCTTAGCTCCACGTGATCAGCTCGATACAGGGTGAGGGGTGAAGGGTCGCCCAGCCAGTAACCAAGCAAAAGAGGAGCTGCGACGGACAGGCAATGGTCCCTGACGTTTGTGGCAGTAAAAACTCCTCAAATGGTTGATAATAAAATAGCATGAGCCACCCTCCAGGGAAAGTGGGTTAATATATCCATTTTCCCCTTTAAAGCTGAGCAAAAGAGGGTGCTCAAGGTTTGAAAGGTAGCAGTGCACACTCATCCTCAGGACCTGTGTCCTGTCCCTGAGCCACTCGCAGGGGCGCATGCAGGGGCTGGAAAGGCTCATGGGAAAGGAGCACCGTGTGGGGCACACAGGCCGTGAGGTCCAGCTCACAGCTCGGAAGCACCACACACAGCTTTTTATGTTTCACAGAGTCTCTGGGATTTCTAGGGCTCAGAGGTGGTCCGTCTGCTTTGCCGCACACCTTGGCTGCCCCGGGAGGCCTCCACCGGGCCAGCTGTTTCCAGTCCCCTTTGCATCAGGGCGCCCACCAGCATCATGGAGGCAGTTCCACGTGTGTCCATTAGAAAGTAAGCTCTGTGGGCAGGAGCTTTCTCTGCCTGGCTCACACTCTGTCCGCAGCATGTAGTGCAGTCTAGCCCATAGAGATTCCTAATAAGTGTTGGTAAATTAATTAACCAGTGTGGGTAGAGGGGAGTTAAGGGGAGAGGAAGGCTGTACATAAATGGAATAGGTGGTCTCCTGACATTATGCCTTCAAGAATGCTAAGAGACACCAACTGCATACTCCTATCAAGGACCTGAAATTGCCTTGGTTAAAATGACCCCTTTGGGTTAAGGTGTTGTCTTAAGGAAACAACTAGTAAGCAAACCACATTACTTGGTGAATAGAGTTGGATGGGCCCAAGAAGGGGCATCTTCCAAGAGCAGAAAACTGAAAGGGCCCAAAGTACTGAAGATTGGAAAAGATGCCGAATTTTAAGGCCTCCTCTACTCTTTGGCAACTTTTCCCTTCCCATAGCTCTTCCAGCATTTTTTTCAGCTCATTTGGTTTCCAGGGAAGATCTGAGACAAAGTTGAGGCTGACAGGGTTTTGGGGGAGGTCCCAAACTTCATCCCATTCTCAGGCCCCTGCACGGATTTGCAGGTGAACCTGTGCTGCTTGTCAGAGAACACTTGGTTAGGATGGTTTCATTTCTCCTAATTTGCACATGGAAAAGTGATTTTGAGTGATTTTGCTCTGGACTAAAGAAAAAAAACAAGAGGGAAGGCAGATTCTTTCCCCTGGATATTTTCTGCCTTTTTCTCTTTAACTTATTGCCATCATTAAGCACCCATGTCATTTGTTGGCTTTACTAAGGCCACAATGTAAAACGGATGAGCCTGAAAGAGTGTCACGTATTGAGCAGTCTTTTCCCTACTTGAGCAAATAAACTTGAGCAAATATTGTTGTAACTGATGAGAGATAAAATACTCCTTTAAAGTTATTTTGCTTTTTTGTTTTTATTACAAGCAGAAAACATAAACCATGACACCCACCATCTTGTGCTTTGAAATATGAAAGTCAAAGGAAAACGAACTTGGGAAGAGAGATGAAACTCTTTGGAGCAGAGATGAAACAGCAAAGTTGAAAGATTAATGTTCTAGACAAATTGAAATCTAAAGTGAAAGTTTAGACAACAGTAATCAAAATGAATGATAAGGGGAAAAGCCAGAAGGATGGGAACATTTGAGGCAACAATCTGTTCTGGTTCAACCAGAGATGATTATCTCGCATTTAAATGCTCTTTCCTACACTGTGAACAGACTCTCACTGTCACACTCAGAGAAAAAGACAAAGGGGTTATCAGAATTTACCACTATTTTTACACAAGGTTAAACTAGTTATCCACATAATTCCAAGTGAGGAAATTTAGGGTTGGCTTTTTCAGTAAATTGTTCAATATTCCCAGGCTAGGAATATTTTAAAAACAATTTAAAAGCCCAAGCTTTCTCAGAATTTTCCCTTCCATCTAAGCATATATCTAGACAAATAGTTCCATATCATCGACACTGAAACTAGGAGAACTTATTTTGGCAGAATGTCTTTTTGTAATTTTAAAACATGATTTAAAATAATTAAGTTTTCTTACCTGGAAAATGCTGCCATATTATCAGCCAAGGTTTCCTGATCATTTGCCCCAGACCTATAATAGTCATATATAGACTTCTGAAGTATTGATTTAGCGTGTTGTTCATAATCGCTGATACAAACTAGCCGGGTGAACATTTTCACAGGTTATTGCAACCCCAGGCTGTTTTTATTTTTTCCCGTGTTGCCTTCTACATCTTGACAATTCTGTTGTCAATTATTAATAGGCTTTTGCTAAAGTTCAGATTTAGTTCTCTGGTGTTACATTAAGTGAGCAAACATGCTTAGACTTTGAAATTTCATTTGCAGCTCTTGGCCAGAGAACAGCAACACCTAAGCCATACAGACTG